GAAAGCTCTGGAGGGAGTGAAGGGTTTTGTTTGAGACTGCAGGCTATTTAGATTGCAAGTCTCCCATGTACACACAGCTATGAACTTTTTGTTTATGGAGGGGGTTGCCACTGGAATGAGGCAGCAAGTGAGTGACAACTGCACATAGCTAAGAAAGGGTCAACCAGGAAGCAGCTTGAAAACCCTGGAGATCCCCAACCCCCATTTCTGCAAACACTACTCACTACATGGCCCACTGACTTCAATAAATCAAATTACTCACCTGAGTGTCTGCAGGATTGGGGCTGTAATCAAGAACCCACATAGGCCAGCTATACAGTATAAAGTGAGTCAGCTTGGCTGCAATTCCACCCAGGGAATATTACAATGCTAGATAAAAGGCATTAAATTCTATTATTCATTGCATGAAGCTGTTGCCAATCTTCCATCTATGTAACAGGAGTTGCAATGCATCTATGTGACACGGTTATATCACTTGAGGGCCAGAGCAATAGTACTGAAGTCTCTGGATGAACTGTGATGGGCCATTATGATTATGACCTGTCCAAATGACTGCCTTTGGGCTCTAAGAGGTCTTTCCCTATTATCTGGCTAAACATACACAGGTTTAGTGCATCTTTAGATTTCTGTCTTAGGCAGTTATCTGGCCCTTGTTATTATAGTTTTTAAAGCTGTTTCCAGCCTTTCGTGTATTAAAGCAATAGTGCTGTTATCCTGAGGCAAAATGACCTGACCTAGAACTCTGTAGAGCCAACAAGGAGGGCCAACCAGTGTCTCCAGAGCCAAAGCAAGTCCCCTAACCACTGAGTGTCCCTTCTTCTGTGTGTGGCTCCTTTGCCTAGCTTTAGAAAGGGGGTGGGGGGCATGGCAAAAACTGTGAAGAACCATGCAGATTCCCAATGAGCTGCACTCCAACCACGGGGCTTTGCCCTCCCACCTGATCATATCTTTTCTTTTTGTCCCACCACAGTGCGATAACTTTCAACTCTGCAAGGAGGAGGAGCTCATGCTTGTCAAGCAGAACCTCAACATCTTCCAGCCATCACTGAATCAGTGTCTGAGCAAGCCCTTCCAAGTGGTGAGTGACTAGAGCAATGAATCTCAACTGGGGTGCCTGGAGATCCTTTCAGGGGTGCCATACAATGTCAGCACTGTTAGTAATGCAAACGTGATTCACAAGAGAAATCCAATGTTAAAGTAAGAATCCAGAGTGTTAAAACCATTTGGCCCTACTGTGGTCCTTCTGAGTTCTTTACAACAAAAGAACTGCTTTGTTATTTTTCCACAGGCAAAAAATGAGTGAAAGCTAAGAACTGGTATTTTCCGAGGGGTGCCTCAAGTCTGAGGAAGGGGGTTGAGTCAAACGTGGGATGCCTTGAGTCTAAAAATATTGAGAACCACTGGACTAGAGCCACCCTGGTGTGGGGATGGGAGCAATCCCAGGATTATGTCCTAACTAAGGGCCTGATCCGTCTCTCAGTGAAAGGGGCAGGATCTCAGCCCCTGATGACTTCAATGTGCTGCAAGTCCAAGTGCAAGATTAGCTCCTGCACATTCCATTCCAGGGCTCAAATGCAATGAACTCTCAGCATTGGCTCAACCCTGGTTTCTGCAGAAGGGCCCACTCCTGGTTTCTACAGAAAGCCCTTTTGCTTTGTTGGGTGTCTGACAGCACAAAACCCAAATGCCTCTTGAGTAGCAGTTGCCAAAATTGTTGCTAACTGCTGCTTCCAGCTCAGCTGGGGCCACTGGGGGAGGGTTTAACTTTTGAAGCAATCCCTAAAAATCCCAGCCAAATACAGCTGGATGGGGGGCAGGCTGCTGGAAGAAGGGGAATCATGTTCCTCAAAGCACAGAATGGTGTTGTAATATGACTCAACACTTCCTTGGTCTTGGCAATACCCAGCGCCCACGGAAGTGGGGAAGCAGTTCCATGTGGGAGGGAGAGGTCCATGGCAGGGCTGTTCACATTTTCCAGCCCTCCTCTAAGCACCTGTGGACTGCAAGCGAGAGGAGTTCTCAACCACAAGAAAACAGTGGGGAAGCACCCCATGCTCCTCACTGCACTGAGCTAAAGGAACACAGGGATTGTGGGGAGCAGGCACAGGCCTGTTTGAAGGCACTGCTACCAAACCCCAACCAGACCACAGCAGCTTACAGTCCACCCCTTCAGTGCTGGATGGAGTGTTGAGTGGTCATTCACTGCACTCACCAGGATAAGATGCTCAGAAACCTTGATGCCATCCAGGTCCCTGCAGCATTTAAAGAGTTAATGGTCTTCCCCATAGGATGTCTGCTTCAGCCAAATACGGGAGGGACTCCAGACCTACCACGGCTACCTCTCCACCATTGCCCAGCTCCTGCCTGGTCACTCCACTCAAGTGGAAGGCCTTCAACTGGATACCTCCAATCTCTCCACCAATATCCAACAGCAGGTGAGTAGCATTACTTGCTCCTCTACTAAGCAAAGAGTTGCCACCATGGTGCCCTGTGCATGTACAGAGCAGCCCAGCTGGGCACAGCCCTACAGCAGGTACAAACCCAACACTGCTGGCCATAACTCTGCAGGTGTGTACCGATGATAGAGGCAGCCTGTGTATCACGTGGAGACTAAACCTGCCTGTTCTCAAGTCAGGCCTGGAGCCATTAGCTCACCCTGCCAGCAGCCCTGCTGTCAGCTTCGGTTTCCCAGATCTGTCAGTGGCCCATCCCAAGTCACTGGAAGTCTACTGGCTTCAATTCATCTTGGACCAAGTGCCGACTTCTCCTAGCATGCCAGAAGCTGGCTCTGGTGGGCTAGGAGTGCTTGTCCTGACGCTGCTCCTTTCTCATCCACAGGTAGAGGCTCTCGGACTGAACATGGGAATGGTGACATACCCCAAGGAGGAAGGCCAAGGCACCCTCCTCACCTTCTCATCCCAGTTCTACCAGCAAGCCGGAGGATACATCGTCCTTGCCAACTTCCAGCTCTTCCTGGACCTTGCCTACCGGGTGCTGCGTCACCTCATCATGCCATAACGAGGCACAAGGCACTCCACCCATGGGGAGACACTGCTCTCATTGGCATCACAGCACCTTCCCCAAGGAGTAGCTGCAGATTCTGAAATCTAAAGGGCACATTTACAAATAGAAGGTTCCTAATACAGGAGCTAGGCGGACTGGGGAAGCATTTAGGGCACTCTATTCTCAGGAAGATTCTCTAGTCCTTCAACATCAAAACCTTCTTTCCACCTCAAACTGTCACAGTGACAACTTAGCCTCTTCCTTGTTTACTGGCTGGATGGTCTTGCCACCCTTGTTTGAACAAGGACAAAACCCAGTGCCTGCCTCTATGCTCCTACCCTGGTTACTATTTCTGAGGCATGTATGGTCCTACTTTACCCTTATTTATTTCTCATTCCCGAGCCATACTGGTGCCTCCTGGCACACAGTCCCAAGACTAACCCCCATTGGATCCAGCTACCCAGCATATTTAATATTTATCATTATTTAATATTTATGCAGCTTTTAGAACTCAGAGGTGATGCATTTAAATCTGGGGGCTATTTTTAAGGTTAAAAAAAATCATTCTGAGTCTTGGGTGTTGGCATCAAACATGTTGCAGCATCAGGAAGCCTAGATACAAGGCAAACAGCTGCACTTGGGCTGCGATTCCTGCATATTTTTATATGTGCACAGTGTAGGTACTGTTTAATATTTAAACAAGTGAGTATCCCCATAATGAGGTTGTTGCTGTTTGGGAGCTGGACTGAGCACGGAACTGGGAGTCAGGGGCTCCTGGACTTTAGGGCCAGCTAGACACAGGCTCCTTGTAGGCCACAAATTGTACTGCAGTTTCCCCATCTGTAAAATGGGGGTGCTACTGTTTACCTGCTTCGCCGATGTGTTGCGAGGCTTACATGGTTAATGTTTGAAAAAGGGGCGATATGAAGAGTGAGAAGGTAGGATGGGAAAGGGACTGGGGTGGAGGGGGGGTGGGCTCTTTAGTGAGATCTCAGCCCCAGGGAAGGGCAGGCTCTGCACTCTGCAGACTCTCACTGACCTCCCCAAATCTGAGATCTACCCACCCCCACTGCAAGCTCAACCACTTTCCTCCTTGTTACTGCTTCTGTCCTTGCCACAACACAAACCAACATTTTAGCACAATGCTGTAAAAGAAGTTGGAATGAGCACAGAATGGAGCTGCGGGGTTTGGGGTTTACTTCCCAACTCTGCCATGGATGAGCTGCATGCACTTCAGCATGTCACAGGAACATGGGAGTGGAAGAGAATCATCCAGGTGACTGAGTTCAGATCCCTCTTTGTGCCTTACTTTAATATGGAGAGAATTTCCTTCCTCAGTGGCTGAAGACACTTTAAAGGATATTTCCCTTTGTTGGTTGTGGTTGGAGCAGGGACAGGATCAGTCAATGCTGTTTTTATTATGAGTACATTTACACAAGCTGCAATTATTAGTTAAAAGGCTTGCCAAGAGATGAGATGGTAACAGGCACCATAATTGTGGTGCATATGTAATTTCACCTTCATTAAAACTAGGCAGCCTTTTTGTAACTTATTCAGTTTTTCTTTTTTTTTTTTACAAGTGTACAATCCAATATTCTTTATAACTCTCACAAACTATTTATTGTTTCCTTCCACTATAAACTAATTATTTTATTTATTATAATTTATTTACATGAGTCTTTATTCCTGTTGCATACCACCATCCCTTTCCGTTGGGTTAATCCAGAATTCCACTAGATTGGAACGACTCCTAAACTCTATTCACATCCAAACTGGAGTCATTCAGATTGGATTGTGCTGGAGAGGTTTATGTTCCTCGAATGTTTTCAATGTGTCACTGCCTCACAGGGCACAAGCATGTGGATACACATGGGACTATACTGGATTGTACTACTCTCCAAACCATCAGTGCACCCAGATGAAGAAGGAACACCCCGAATGTTTGCAGTTTTGTTTAAAAGCATAGTTTTCATTGACCAATTTAAAAAAAAAAAATCAGAATTTTAAACTTAGCCAAATGACAGGTGGAATGTATTATTTTGTAACTGTCTGTTTATATAATATATATTTTACATTTTTCTATTTATTGTTATGCACAGACCAAATCCACTGTATTTTTTTTATTTAAAAAAACTAAGGAAATAAAGATATTTTTGTTGCTTTCAATAACATTAGTGTTTGTTTGCATTTATCAGCCCCTTGAGAGACCACGCTCTATCCATTTAAGCAGAACTAAACTAATGTACTTTACTTAGGATCCTAGGAGAGAGAGACCTGATCAGTTGGTCACTTGCTATAGAACTCTATATGTTCACGCTAACAGATAAATCCTTAGCATGTTGTCAAATCAAATACCTGCAGCCCAGGGAGACAACCAATTAGTAGAGAATGAATCGGTTACTAAGCAGAGACTGCACTTCAGCTTAGCCAGAGCAAAAGATGCAAGGTTGTTTTCAAGGTTCAAAGCTGGTTACCTTCTCAATCTATTAGCACTAAACTGGGCCTTTCAAAGGAAACAAAAAGAGTTGGGTGCCAGCCTCCATAGGGATTTTGCATAGAATATCTGCACGTCTTGGAAAAATTCCGTGAACTCTAGAGCTAAAGCCTGGATAAAAATGAAGCATTCTGTTCTTAGGCTCCAATTTTGGCTAGAACCAAATACAAAATACCTCTTCGTAGCTCCACCCCACATCCATTAAGGAATGTAGCAAGATGCTAGGTCTAATGATTCAGAATTTCCTCTGCCCTGCTCAGAAGCAGAAAGGGGAGAAAAAGCCATTGATGGATCAGGAAGAACTTAAAAAGGGACACGCCTACATGTCGCCCTACAGTGACCTAGTGATGTGCTACATCACTGTACAGCGGCATACTACAGCGATGTAGCAATCACGCGGGTCTACACGTGATTGCCTGCTACATCACTGTAGCAGCGCACTCCCCACTTATAGCATGCCGCTATGGCAATGTAGTGGGGAAATCTAAGCGTGTGCTGCTCGTAATGTGCCATGCTTTAGTACTTCCGAAAGGACTCTGAAAGGAAATACTAAAGCACTGCACCGCAGCAACGTCACTATATGGCAACATGTAGACATGCCCAAGGATCATTTTCTTCCCCGTGTTCTTTCTGTTACCTGGAGCTCATCAGCTTCCTGCGCATGCAAACCCTTGCTTCTGAGGCTTTTGCTCAAATAAAAGGGTTGTCTAGGAAGCAAGTGCTCATGCAACTCAGCTGCTGGGAAGACACTGTTATGAAGATGTTAACAAAGCAAATAAATCTCACCCAGTTCTGGGGTGGAGGGAACCAGGTGCACAGCAACTGCTATATAATGGGGTGGGAAAGGGAGCCAAGAACAATGTGGTGAACTGTGGGATCAGGGAAGATCTAATGTCCAACAAGAACAGAGAGGAGGATGGTCTAATCTTTGGTCCCAAATGAATCATCTACAGCAAGTCAGACACATTTTTTCAGTAGTGGGCCAGAAAGACCGAGCTTAGGTCTGTGACAGGTTGCCGTTGGTGTTTCTCCCTGCCACCTGGCCATGGCATTGTATGGGCAAAGCTCCCTGTTGTCTGGCTATAACACAGTGCAAGCAAAGCTCTCCACCTCCAGGCTGGATGCTATGACTCCATGGGCTGAATCTGGGCCATAGGTTGCCAATTCAGTGTTGAAGGCGATATAAATCTTTGTTGTTATAGTCTACAGCTGACCCAATAAATGACAAAAATAGTGAATAGTAGAGGGTCAATCTACTCTTACAGGATGACTGAATCCCTGGACATGCTCCAACAAAATGTGTTTTTAATGAAGTTCAAGCCAAGGCAAGAGCCACTGCAAACCAAGGCCCCACCTACCAGATAGGAGATGCTGCCTTAGAAAGCAGGGACTCAAAAGAAGGGCCTAGGCATCATCATAGATCACCACCTCAACACAAGCTCTCAAAACAGTGTTACAGCCAATGTGATACTTGGGTACATAAAAAGGGAAGCATCGTGTAGAAGATGGGAAGTGATTCTCCCTCCCTGCACAAGTACTAGGATGCTGTGCACCCTTCCAGTGTCCACAGGTCAAGAAGGAGATAGGGATACTGGAACAAGTTGCAAGGAAGGTCACAAAAATGACTTGACAATGTGAGGCTTAAGGTGTGAAACTTATTCATCTTATTGAAGGGAAAGTTGAGAGGTGACTGACTCCCTGAGCACAGCCCCTTCTACATGGAAAAGAGCTCTGAGTGGTGACTTTTCAATGTTGCTGACAAGGCATAAAACACATGCTACCAATGGCTGGAATTTAAACTTAGGCAAAGCCAATCTTGAAATATGATGCAGTTTCCTAGCTGAGAGGGTTATTAAATTCTAGAACAGCTTACTAGGGAAGATGGTGGCACTCCTTATCACCTGGAGTCTTTAAACGAAATGAGATCTCTCTTTAAAAGATACTGGGAGAAATTCTTCAGCTGGTGGGGGAATGCAGGTGTAGGCTGGAAGGTCCTTCCTGTCCCTAGAGTCTCTAAATCAGAGTGAAATGCTTTGATCTAAGGCAGTTCTTTCAGGCTGATGCAAGGACCTTAACTGAGAGTTATGACTAGTAGTATGCAGGAAGTCAGGTAAAAAGATCTGCTGTTCCCTCCTGCCTTTGCACTTACGAAACTCATGGATGGGAAAAAGCAGGAGGCTTGGTCTTGCACTAGCTCTCCTAGGCATCCAGCCACATCCTAGCTCCATAACCATTCCCTCACCAACTCCGTTTCCCTTGTCTAAAGCTGTGTGGGGGAAAGAGGGGCTCAACTCCTGTAAAAGCTAGTAGGAACAGAGGGTGTTCAGCTCTTCTGTCCCTGAATAGCCATCTTCAGCTCAGGGCTTTCAGACCTTCTGCAAAGCCCACTGCAATCACTCAGGGTTATTGACTCCATCAAAGACTTTAAGTTCATTGCCCTACTTCATAATATCCCCTATGGGGGCTGACTTAATGCTGGCTAAACCTAAATTTTATATTACTATTACTGTCTAGGAGCTCATCATCATGGTCCAGACCCTATGGCATTAGATACTGTACAAGTGGAACAAAGAGTTTGGTATAGACCCTATGGTATTAGTTATTGTACAAGCAGAACAAAGAGTGCTGTCCAAAAGATAACAGATTGGCTCAGATGGAGGCAGACATAGAAACAGTGAGCCAATCCTGGTCTGGGGCTGGGCAGGGGTCACTCAAGGACCAACATTTTTGTAGGCATCTCAGCAAAGGTGCATTTCCAGGAGGGTTTTGGAAGAGGAAGATCAGACAGTTTATGGAAGTTTACAGGGATCGATAGATGCTGGCAGGGTGGGGACAAGCTGGGAAGAGCCTTGAAAATGAAGGCAAGGAGATTATGCTGGATGCAATAGGGAAGGGGAAGCCCACAGAAGGAGGCAAAGAGCAGGATGAGCTGGGTAAAGCAACAAGTTAGTAAAATCTTAGCAGCGGCACTGGCAAGACACTGGACCAGGCCAGAGAAAAGGACATTGCAGTAATGAAGTCAGATGATCCGACTTCAGCAGAGAGTTGTGGCTGTCACATGACTGCTTTCCTAACAAAGAGACTCCCAGGGCTGCCAGCTAAATCCCCAGAGACACAAGACTTCCTATCACCTCTTGCTTTCCCTGAGTAGATGGAAGTAGGGAGGAAACAAATTGGCAACTCACCAGCTGCAGTGAGCTGGTAGCATGGGACTCTTTCCAACTTGTCCTGCTCCAACCTAAGCTCCAAAGTGAAGCAAGAACAGGAACCCTGCCCACTCCGCCAGGGCTAATTTCTGACTCAACTTCCCATGCCCCCGGGTAGTGTAGTGAAGTGCTACACCATCCACAACCATTACATTCAGTCAATCAAACAGAAGGATATCTGAATTTGGACCTAGCAAAACATTTAAGACGCTGAACAGGAAGCAGGTCTGTGTGTCCAACAGGGTCTGGTTCCCCCAGACAAATGCAGGCACTCTATGCAGACACCACAAGTGATTTTGTGCTCTACTCTACTGCACCCCGACAAGGTGATACCCAAAACAGTTGCTTGCTAAGGACCAAAGCAAGCCCCTGTAACAGGTTAAATCCTGCACTGAGGTCTCTGGAATTAAAACAGGACTCTCATGCATTTGCCTTGTCTAGAATGATAGCTCTTCTGCAGCCTCACTCAGAGATCACATATGGAATCAGTATCTCCAAACCCAACATTCAGCCCCTGCCCGAGTCATGGCTCAGGCATCATGAGTAGGCCCCGATTGAAATCACAGACCCAGTTCATGGCATGGCGGCTCCTTCAGTTTTGGTGTTCTCCTCACGCCTCTGCCTTCCCCCTCCCCATTGATTGGCAGAGGGTCCCATCAGCCCAGCTGCTTGCTCCTGATGGCCAGGAGGTGAAATCCACAGTTTTAAATAAGGCACGGTTTTTGCCTCCCATCCCATCAGCAGCAAGCACCAGGAGCTGGGCCCATGATTTAAACCAGGCCCTAATTACAAAATTCGTTTTGAAAATGAAATCAATCATGGTTTCTTTTGGATTTGACATCTGATTTTGACCCTTCAGCCTGCCCACAGGGTGCAGTTTCAAGCCTCTCTCCCCATCCTGAAAGGGCCACAGGTTCTGGTCTGGGGTGGCTGCTTCATTTTATGTTTTTTAAATGAGACAGGACTTTTCCTCTGTTCATTTGCAGCTGGAACTAAACCTTTAAGAAAAGCGGCAAAATCTTAAGGACTCCTACCATGACAGTTGAACCCTCAACCCCTCTATGACCACTTTCCTCCTGGGGTATTCCAGTGTTTTCATGCATGTAGAGTCAGGATTGTTAAGCACATTTTTACAGATGGGGAAACCGAGGCACATGACTGCAATGAGTATTTTAACCTGTGGGCTCTTCGAGGCAAGCCCTACCCATGCTTTCATCCCGTAACCCAGAGGTTCTCAACCTTTCGAGATTCCAAGTGTTCCTTGGAAAATGCCAGCTCTTCATTCATTTTTGACTACAGAAAAAGAAATGGAGTGATTTTTCTGTTGGAAAGAACTCAGAAGGAACACATCAGGTCAGAATGGTTTTGACATTATGGATTCCTATTGGAAATC